CCTAGTAAGATAACACATTGACGTCCAGACTAACATAAGGATGGATTATTTTATGTGATCAAATAAAAAAATAAAAAAAATAATGATCGTATAGAATTGTAAAAATTTATTACCCAAACGACCTCAATGTTAACAAGTTTCATTAACACATACTGTATATTAGCCACTACATGATGATGATAAGAGATTAAGGAATGACAAATGACAATTGACGGAAAGCAAGAGTATGACTTGTAAAGAGGACAAGGAGAATTATTACAATAACGAGAAAGCACTAGTTGAATTTTGACCAAAAGCAATACCTGCGGGTAAATTTTTAAATATAAGTTTTTTGGAATTTCTACATTAATCTACTTTGTAAAGGTGGGGTCACTCTGCATCTTCTACCGCATTTACCATGGAAAGTGTTCAGAGGAGTTGTTCGGATTAATACCTGCAGCTGTGTTTCATGATCAGACGTCGAGGCAGGATACGAAATTCAACCCGTATCACCTCGACGTCCGTCGTTCCACGACTGCTTTTTCAAGGCAATTTTTGCCGTGCACCACCACTATGTGGAACCAGCTGCCCACTGAAGTATTTCCGAACTTATTCTTAAAAGGCCGGCAACGCACTCGCGAGCCCTCTGGCATTGAGAGTGTCCATTTGCGGCGGTGTTTGCCTCCTGTTCTATAAAAGGTAATACCATGAAGCCTCAAATGGAAGTTTGTGTACTAAACGTTATGAAAAAAAGCGAGAGATTACGATAAATACTTTCTTACAGATGACGGAAGACGACTTCCATTAATACTATCAATGAATTAACGTTTATAAAATAACTATATGATTCTAGCTTTAAATTTCAGCTCTCAAATTAAGGGCTTAGAACTAGTAAGAAATTCGTTCAATTCACTAGCTTTTTCAAAATTGCTAACTAAATAGCTATAATAGCTAATAGCTGTACTTTATTATGATAAGTGAATTAAATAAACCATCATAGAAAAGATCAATATTGTTTACATTAATTATAACTATCACTTGAACACTATCACAAAACTCATTAAGATTGAAGTAATAGGTAAATAATATTAAACGTTAAACGTGTTTTAGTTATATATTATATATGTATATTTATATATGTTTGTTTAGATTGTTTTAAATTGTAACTTTACGTTTTATGTTTTTTTTCCTCTATTAATTTGTTTTGTTCTCTGTACTTTGTAGTTTCAAAATTACAAGTGTGTACGTAGTAATTAAAAATGTTTTTTCATGTGTCAATGTCAACATTTAAATTGAATGTCATTAATTGAATCACGAAATTGTTACATTATTAGCAAATATAAAATAAAAGTAAAATCAACAAAATATTTTTTTTATTTATCAAAAAAGAAACATGACACACACATCACAAATACAACATATGTAAAAAACGATATACATGATTGTCCAAGTAGTGGCGTCAATAATTTTTTTTAGATTCCTCACACCTGTACGAAAATACCCCATGTATGTTCCGCGATTTATTGTAGTTTTCGAGTCATATTTTTTTTTGTTTTTATTGAATGTTTTCTGCCAGCGAGGTTACAAAAATTCATATCTTATTTTGTTATAGATATTATGCAGTTATAGATATCATTTCACAGAAAAAAATCTGTGAAATGATTGTCTTAAATGTTGTTGAAATAAAAAAAAACTCAGCTTCTTAAATAATTAGTTAAAGCTACTCAAAAAAGGTTTTTAAGTTAGAAGTTTAGTTTTTAGCTGGATAAAAAGAAAAAAGTTTTTAGCTGGATAACAACGAAGTTTTTAAACTGATGTTTTTTTTTTTAACTTTTATTTTTCTTATGGCAAATTAAACTTAAAGATGTATTTTTTATTAATTTTAGTACCCGTAAAAAAAGTAGCTCGTGTAATTCTTACAATAATTTTGGTCTTACCACTCAAAATTCAAAATGTTATTCCAAATGATTATTGCTAGTTGTGAAATTACCTGCTTTTTAACAACAAATAAAAGGCACAATTCACTGAAAAAATACTATTTATTATAATAAATTTTCAAAACTCCTTCCTCCAACTTGAATACATTACCGACAACATTTTAAAAAGTTATGCATTAATTGCCTGAAGCTATTCGAATACTATGTTTCTTTCCGCTGCTGATATTTTTGTCTTAATTCTGTATCATTGTTGTTTTCCTTCGGGTAGCCCAGCTCTTTGAAAAAACCCCAAAACGTTGTTATTATTATTAAAGTTCCCATATTTAAAGAATATTGGTCCACCGCCGTGATTGAAGGCACAACCCCATCGCGTACTTAATGAAGGATCAATGAATTTTTCATTCTATGGGACTGCGCTTAGTCTCACTCCCATACATCAAAAATGTATTGGATTTTGACAGATGGAAGTAGTAGCTCGCCAGTCTCGATTCTGATTCCTACCTTAAGTCGACGACATTATGCAGATTAGAGTTTTATAACAATAAACATAATAAACGCTTATAAGCGATCTGTTCCAGGCGACCCGTGAGCGAAGAATAACCCATAGAAGGACAAAGAATCTAATTCAATTTATTTAATTTTATTTATTAGTTTTATGTATATTAAAATAAATATAATAGGGGTTCGAAATTAGACGCGGGAAGCACTGGATAGATTGCGACGGTGAAGTGTACTTGAGGTTAAGGCCCACAAGGGGCTGTATAACCATTGATGATGATGAGGATGTATATGATTTTTTTATTTATTTATTTATTAACACTTTGTTGCATATACATAAATATAGTACAATTGACATAATTAAATAAAAAGGAGAGCAACTGGCGGCCTTATCGCTTTCGAGCGATCTCTTCCAGGCAACAACCATTATATAATTTAATAAATTGTCATTCTAATAAATCTGGTAATACCTTGAAATAATACAATGTATGTATGCTATACTATGCATTAAGCCACACAAAAATAAGTTTTTAATAACAAATTTTGTACGTGTCTATTTTTCCGGTATTTTCGTTGCTTTGAATCATTCAATAAATACTTTAGTTATCTATACACTTCTAGTCCTATAGCTAGGACATACATATTTTAAGTCGAATGTAGAAGTCGAAGTAAGAATTAGACATGGGGAGAAATTGGCTGTGCCGAAAATCAATCTGGAACTGTTTAGGAAAAACACCTTTTGTATGGCCATTAAGGTTTACAATTATTTACCAAAAGAATTAAAAGATCTTCCGACTAGAGTCTTTAAAAAGCGACTTGGTGTTTTACTTTTGGAAAAAAAAATGATTATTTAATAAATGATTATTTGCGTGAGACACTGTTGTTGATATAAATTTAATAACGAATGATATGATATGTACGATACAAATAATGTAAGAACTGACGAATTCATATGACTAATAATGTTATAAGCGTACGGTGTCGATCTGAACCACCGCCGCTATTCTCGAAATGAAACTCGGAGTGGAGTTATAATTGTTACCGTTTATTGGTCGAACGTTAGTGATGGTGACACAAAATAATATAGCGAAGCAATCTTATAACTAACGTCCGTCCGGCACGGCTGCGTAAATCTATCTGGTCGTTATACAAATAATAACTTAAAACTAATCCTAAACTACCACGCTGGTCAAAGGGACCGACCGACCCTTCCGCTACCTGCGCACCGCCGACCGCTTCCTAGAAGAACATCTGGCTGGCAGCTTCGTTCGTCAGCTTTCAAACTGTATTGTTCGTTGTCCGTAACAAATGTAAAATGTAAAATTCCTTTAAAAACAAACTTGCGCGCCATTGTGTGTGGCAGAATATGCGAACTAACGATTGTACCACATTACACATTTTTGTACTATATTCTTGCAATAAATTATTATTATTATAGGGAGCTGGCAAGCAAAATATCTTTTTTATTTTTTAATAGCGATAATTATACGATAAGGAATATGAAGGTGGTCATTTTCCGTCTGTCACCATGGTAGACCTGCGCTGTCAAATGACACACCCTTGAACATGTAAAAAAACAGGTATACTTCATCATTTGCTGTTGGGTTTTGGGTCCATTCGATTTATTAGAACCAAACAATTTTAATATTATTTCCAAAAAAAATTGGCAGACATTTTACTTTACATTTACCTGTGGTAATTTCCAAAAAAAATTGGCAGACATTTTACTTTACATTTACCTGTGGTAATGCCAGAATAAAAATTCTTTTATATTCCAATAAATTTGAGCCGGTAGACATCCCTACTCATCGTCAAAGAAGACAGAGGGTGTAGGCCGAGAGAAAAACCGGCATACAAACTCTCGGTACTCATCATACAAAATGACTATGGCAAAACAACACTTATTTTAAAACAAATATCGCAAATTAATTAGAAGCCTGTCCAGCACTAGTCCCAGGTGCCAAATCCAGATAATTGATAACTTTATAGATCTGGATATCTGCCTTATAGATTTTCTTCGCTATCTAAATGGTATTGGCGTCTAACCCCAGAGACAGACACGAGCAAATGATTTAGGATCGAATTTTTTACAGATTTAAACCCCTGTGGCTTAAGAACGCAGCAACGACCTTAATTCATTAAGAAAATGTTGTCGTATTGGTCCGCAGTTTAATTCCTATCAATACGAAATACGAGCAAATCATTTACTTCAATGATCGCAAGCTCCCTCCCTTTTCATCTTTATATGTCTCGTTTTCCGTTTCTAATAAATAACTGTCAATAATTTTAGTCCTGTGACATTTGACCTGTAACTGTTGACCCGAAGTGTGAATTGAGTTTGGCACACATATCCTGTATTAATTATTACCCCGAATAACAAATTGAATCTATTCTTGCCATTAAATGAGTTCAATTTGACAAATCATATGTTTTTGTGGACAGTAATAATGCGTAATGCGTAATTCATGATGCGTATCCACCCACACTTCAGAAAAACCAACAAACGTTTTCGTATCGTAGTATGAAGTAAAGACGTGTATTTAAACCGATATATTAATCCGTTTATTTAGTAATAACGCTTAGAATATGTCGGTTCTTACTATAATAATAACTTTGTTTTGTTTATTATTAATTTTATATTGGATATCGACAAGAAAATTCAATTATTGGCTATCAAGAAACGTTATTCAACCTGCACCACTGCCCCTGTTTGGTAATTATATCGATTATATTATTTTAAGAAAGTCAATTCATGAAGTTGTTAGGGATGTTTGTGTGAAATTTCCTAAAGAACCTTATATAGGAGTGTACTATGGTACATTACCAACCTTAATTGTTCAAGAACCAGAACTGATCAAACAGATTTTTACAAAAGACTTCTACTATTTCAATGGCCGCGAGGCAAGTGAATATAGTCATAGAGAAGCGATTACAAAAACCTTGTTTTTCACAAGCGGAGATAGATGGAGAGTTATCAGACAGAATCTGACACCGCTCTTCTCTTCAGCGAAAATGAAGAAGATGTTCTACTTAATAGAAGAATGCTCTAATATATTTTTGAAGTTACTGGACGACGTATCAGAAATACCAAGTGTCGAGATCAAAGCTTTGGTAGCACGGTACACAATTGACTGCATCGGATCTTGTGGCTTTGGGATCCAGACAAAAGCTATGTTAGTTGAAAAGAATAATCCTTTCTTTGTGATTGGGCAGATGATCTTCGAGGCGTCCAATGTAAGAGGTTTTAAAAATATGGCACGCGCTGTATGGCCAGATTTATTCTACAAACTAGGATTTGAATTATTCCCTTCAGAACTCACGGAGTTCTTCGATAAATTGCTTAAAGACGTCTTTAAAGAGAGAAATTACAAGGACTCTGGGAGACATGATTTCGTCGATTTGGTCCTGAGTTTAAAACAAAATAAACATTTAGATGGTGATAGTATTAAGAACTTGAAGGGAGGAACGGAGAAGTGTCTCATAGAAGCAGACAATGACTTCTTAAGTGCACAATGTATGTTATTTTTCGCAGCGGGATATGAAACATCCGCTACTACACTTAGTTTTTTGTTGTATGAGCTGGCAAAAAATTCAGATAAACAAAGACGGGCGATTGCAGAAGTTGACGAATATTTTAAGCGGCGAAATAAAGTGGAATACGAATGTATGTTTGAAACACCGTATTTAGAAGCCTGCATCAATGAGACTTTGAGGCTTTACCCAGTTCTTGGTGTTCTTACAAGAGAAGTGGTGGAAGATTTTAAACTACCTTCAGGTGTTTTATTAAATAAAGGAGTTCGTATTCATATACCAGTGTATTCCATACACAGGGATCCTAAGTATTTCCCTAACCCAGATGACTTTATACCGGAAAGGTTTTTAGGCAATGAAAAGGACAATATAATACCGTTTACTTTTCTGCCGTTTGGAGAAGGGCCGAGAATTTGTATTGGTATGTAATATATGAATATTTTCTTAAGGTGTTAGCACAGCTGTGTAAATCTTTCAAGGACAAGAACGTTTTTATAGGCAAGGTGCCTTTTAGAGAGTATTTAGACCATTATTGTGCGTTTTTTTTTAAATAATCAATCTAAATGTACCACTTTTTTTGCAAATTCACGATTTATTATATTATTATTTATTAATATGTATTGGCTTAAAACAAAAACTAACGTGATTGTCGTCACTATACGCTTTCAACTTCTTTATTTTTTCAGGAATGAGATTTGCAAAAATGCAGGTGACAACTGGGTTATTAACGATCCTAAGGAAGTGTCATATCGGATTGACTAAAGATACAATTACTAAAGTCGATTTTGAACCACGCGCAATAACAACACAGTGCGCTAAAGGGATCCACTTGAAGTTTACACTCAGGTCATAAATTAATGGATGACAACTCTGATTCATATGAATTGGAATATGCCTGAGTAACAGCTTTTGTCGAAACTGCACTTTAAATATTTAAATCAAGTAAATAATTTAACATTACAAGTTGTATAAATCAAAACGTAGCTATTTTATTTCTTTAAACTTATCCATTAAATGTCAAATATGACTTTTTTTTCTTTTTTCTTTATGGCTCTGGCACGGTTTGTGCATTAGCCAGCGTCAAGTATAAGATTTTTATAATTCGTGCTCTGCCTTAGAACTTCGACCGTGTCCTCCATGCAAATATGACTTTAACCTACGAATAAAACCGGCGATTGTTAAAAGAGTTTTTATTTGCACCTATGATTCATATAACATCTGTATACATATTGTTAATACTGCCTAATAGAAAACTTAGCTTGGTTTAATACTAGCATGATATGTTTAGAATTGGTTCTTTCACTCGGCTAATTAGAATTCGGGATTGCCAAGTCACTATTGTATACTATACACTTACTCAGTAAAGCACTGTCAAGTGCTCCTTTTTATTATTATAGTGGATTTTCGCACTCTTCTACTGCTTCATTTAAGAATAAGTTAAAACTCTTATTGTCTTAAGCCTTGTATCTTCCTTGTTTTTTTTATAGCTGCTAGTTTAGTGTTAAATTTTGTGCTGTCATGTTTTGTCTTGTTTTACTTTGTATTGTATTTTTTATTAGTGAAACTTTTTTGTGGATATGTCCAATGTGTCTATTTATTTTATGTTTTACATTTATTTTATTTTTACTGTATGTATTGTTTTCCTTAATAAATAAATAAATTATTATTAAAGCTTTATTAATCCTTACAATAATTGGTTAGTTTTCTATCCTTAATATTAGTATTAGTTGTGTTAGTATGAGTTTAAAAAAAAAAGTTTGATTTCTTTTTTTTTTTCAGTGGTCTAATTCTTGTATGGCCCCCTTTAGGGTAAAAGCCTCCTCCATATTTTTCAATTTCTCTTTGTCTAGAGCAACATTCATCCAATTTTTCCCGCTTATTTTGTAATGTCATCTGTCCATCTTTTCTTTTGTCGTCCTAAACATTTCCAGTAGGTCCAGCCCATTCTGTTATTCTCGTCTTTTAACTGCTGTCAAATTATTTTGAAAATTTTGGACAGAGATTTGTCTAAAATCAGACAGAAATTGGCACTATAATTCTAAACAGACAAAGCTGCAAGCAGCTATAACAAAAGCAATATTCGTGCATCAATTAATCATTATAATATCAACTCAATTATGTCCAAGATTAGGAAACGAATCTAGGGTTTATCGGTTACTTAATACACATATCAGTGATCAGATTATTTACATGAGTATGATAAGAACGTTTAGCGCAGTGAATATTGTATATAAAAGGGTGCTATCATATTCATTTCACAAAGGTTAAAAAATGGCAGTAACCGCAGTACTTCTAGCATTTCTCGGTGTATTATTATCAATACTTTATTATTGGTCACAATATAAATTCGATTATTGGAAGAAACGAAATGTACCGCATCTTCAACCGACTCCGCTGTTTGGGAATTACAAAGAATACATACTAATGAAGAAATTTCTCACGGAAGTCGTTAATGGAATATGCGAAAAATTCCCAAAAGAACCATACATTGGTGCGTTCATGGGAACAGAACCAGCGTTAATTGTTAAAGATCCAGACTACATAAAATTAATCCTAACAAAAGACTTCTACTATTTCAACAGCCGAGAAATTGCCGAGCACTCACATAAAGAAGTCTTGGGTAGAAATATATTCTTTACTAGTGGCGATAATTGGAAGATTCTACGGCAAAACGTAACTCCCCTATTTTCTTCAGCGAAAATGAAGAAAATGTTCTACCTTATAGAGGAATGCTCAGACAACCTTGATAAAGTGTTATTCGATTTGAGCAAAGAGCCTAGCGTCGAGGTAAGAGCTTTAATGGGAAGGTTTACAATGGACTGTATTGGATCCTGTGTTTTTGGCGTCAAAACGAATACAATGAAACTTGACGAAAGTAACAACCCATTCGTGGAAATAGCTCGAAAGATTTTTGAGGTCTCTAATGCCAGAGGTTTTAAAGTTATCAGCCGCGTTATCTGGCCTTCAATTTTCTACAATTTAGGTTTCCAAGCCTTTCCATCAGAGGTTCCAAAATTTTTCAGCAAACTTCTCACAAATGTATTTGAACAGCGTCAATATAAGAATTCAGGCAGACACGACTTTGTTGATTTAGTATTGGGTCTGAGGGCTGAAAAAGTTTTAACAGGTGACAGTATCAGTAACATAAAGGGTGACAAGAAGAAAACAACACTGGAAGTCAATCATGATCTATTATGTTCCCAGTGTGTACTGTTCTTTGCAGCTGGGTTTGATACATCAGCTACCACACTGAGTTTTATGCTTTTTGAAATGGCAAAGAATCCAGAAATACAAAAACGAGTGTTAGAGGAAGTAGATGGTTATTTTTTGAAGTACAATAAACTATCGTACGAATGTGTAAGTGAGACGCCTCTCCTGGACGCATGCATCAATGAAACATTGAGACTGTATCCCTTAATTGGTGTTTTGACAAGAGAACTTATTGAAGATTACAAACTACCTTCTGGAGTGCTTTTAAATAAAGGTATGCGTATTCATATACCAGTTCAGCATATACAACGGAATCCGGAACATTTCCCTGACCCAGATGTCTTCAGGCCTGAAAGGTTTATGGGCGATGAAAAAAGAAAATGTTAGACCATACACCTATATGCCGTTTGGAGAAGGTCCCAGAACATGTATTGGTAAGTGCAAGTTAGATTATTTATAAAATCCAGATAAGAGTATTTTACTAACACTGATAATATGATTTTGTTTAACAATACCGGAAGTCTTAAAACTGGTTAGTTCATTAACTTTATTCAAATTTTTTTTAGATAACACTTAAATTTTCTGTAAAAACAATGGTGTTGGCTTCAAAATTTGTATCTGATAGGCAAGCAGGTGATCAAGCCTTCTATGCTTGACACAGACTGTCGATTTTTGGGCACAGTATGACGGTTTTCTCTCGATGTTTCCTTTCAAATTGATAAATTGGTGCAAAGGCGTGATTCTAACGTACAATCACAGGAATAAGAGTAGCAGACCTAGCCTAGACTAGCACTGCTCATAAAAAAAATCTCCGTGACACAATTGATTTTTTAACGAAAAATTTTTTAGGAATGAGATTCGCCAAGATGCAAATAACAGCAGGCCTCCTCACGATCCTGAGAAAAATTCGAGTTGAACTGGCACGTGACACCCGTATGACAGTGGAATTAGAACCACGCGCGCTGACGACTCAACCTAAACATGGAATGAATTTGAAATTCGTACAAAGAGAAATATCTTGCTGATTTTATCGCCTTATGTTTTTGGAGAAATATAACAATAAGTAATAGCAACTGCATCATCTCTAAATTGTCCATGTTGCGGTTCTTTTGTTTTTTTGTTTTTGTGGCAACCCTCATGGTTGTTTTCATGATTATTAGTGAATAATTATTCTGTCATTTACGCTTTAAATATTTATTATTTATATTAACATTTCCAATTGGTTAACACTGTGATTATTATTTTAGTATAATAAATGTATAGAATTTTATAGTATTATTTATATTTATTTATTACTTAATTTCCCTACTATTGACACAACATCAAATCAAATCATCATCGTAATACCGTCCGTATCACCTCGACGTTCGTCGTTCCACAACTGAGAGTTTCTTAAGGCAGGTACTACTACGTGTATCCAGCTGCCCACTGAAGAATTTCCGTACCACTTCGACTTAGGGTCCTTGAAGAAAAGAGTATCCCAAGTCCAACCAAGCGGCGGTATATAGAGTGGCGGAGAGCTTCTTCTTCTCTTACGTTCTACGCCCTTGATTTGAGAACTGGCAGAAAATTTAAAATTAGAAGTATTTAGCATTTAATATGAATTCCTTTTTGACGTTCGTAAGTGTACATTGTGTTACCTAAATGAATAAATGGTTATGATTTTGAATTTTTTTTATTCACACATTTTAAATTCATTACTATTTTTAAATATGTAATGTGGATCTGTTGACTTACAGATATTACATATATATATGAGCTCAAATTGAGGAATTTCAGTTTGTAATTGGGTTGGAATAATGGGTTGTCTGTCACCAATTAGATCAAAAAGTTAACGCCACGATAAAAATAATAGCAAAAACGTAGTAATCTATTTTTGCAGGCGTAAAAATTCACTAGCAAATATTTAATTTAAAACTTTTCCCCATGAGGAGGACACATTTCCGTCTTTTTCATCTTATCAGAGTTCACAGATATTTAAACATTCATGGTTCTTCAGCATTCAAAAACTAAATAAAATAAATATTAATATACCGGTTTATCAATTATTAAAGTTTTATTTAATAGTATAGTTTATTTTATTTAAATGTGTGTAACTCGTATAATTTAATCTTTGATAAAAGAAAGGGATAATCCTATTAACAGTTGTAATGGTTTTTCAGACTTCAAAAAATAAATTTGACTTGTAAATTAAATAATATTGGAATAAGATCTATAAGGTTTTTGCTAAAATTAAATCTGGAAACGTAACCTGTAAGTAAAAAAATAAAGTAAAGTACGTATTGTATTTAAATAAATATCACTTTTAAAAAATCTAAATCATTTTTATTTAATTTATATATACCTAGTTAGTACTTTAGTTTTATACAAATTGCAATTTGTGACATAAGGTAGTCGCAATTAGAGCTACGGAGTCAAACACGATTAGATTTTTCAAAGATAACTACAGACACTACACGTTAATATAAATTCTAATATAATTATTGTCTTATTTTGTATAATGTTAATTGGTATTTTAATAATAATAATATTTATCAGTGGCGCTACAACCTCTTTAGGTCTTGGCCTCAGATTTCTGAATCTGTTTCATGATCATTTTTAAAACTAATATGCAAGTAGGTGATCATCCTCCAGTGCCTGACGCACGCCGTCAACTTTTTGGGTCTAAAACATGTCGGTTTCCTCACGATGTTTTCGTTCACCGTTCGAGCAAATGTTAAATGCGCACATAGAAAGAAAGTCCATTGGTGCACAGCCGGGGATCGAACCTAAGACCTTAGGTATGAGAGTCGCACGCTGAAGCCACTAGGCCAACACTGCTCTAATTCATATTTTAATGATTACATAACTCGCGTCATCTATGTAAAATTTCTAGGATTTTGTAAATTAATAAACTTAATGTCATCTGTATGAAAAGAAATTCCTTTTGTTTCTAGAAACGGATTGGTCATTCTATATAATACATAATACATACATATATGTGAACAAATATCTGCAATTGTCCAAGGTGAGGTTAAAAGCCCTAGGGTCTAATCATTCTTGGCAACGGTAACTTTTGAGTTGCTGACCTCACCAAGCGGATACGCAAAATAATTCCGGATTAGGTACTTGATGTAAATTTTTACATTGTAAATTGTCATATTGAATTTGAGACTGGCCACTATTATAAAAAAATATTGTTTTTTTTTTTGTATAAAGTAATATTATCTGTAGTCGGTCGTGTCTATAGATTTCTGATACTTAGAGTACCACAACGATTTGCTAATACGTCCATTATTTTGGTATATACCCCTTTAACAGGTTCACTGTCGATGAAAGTGGAAATACCCGTCACGTCCAGTTGCGTTTTTATTTAACAGTACAATTTTGACACATTGTTTTTATCTCACCTCACTAGAAAAAAAAAGTTTTGCCGTATGTCCCAGCACTTTTTAGGTTCTCAGTGATATGTCCTGTCAAGTCCGCGCCTTATACGCAACTATCCCTGTAAGTCCACAACTCCAAAAAGCCTAGACCACACCTGCAAGCAGACCACATGTGGACTGTGAACGTATAGAGCTCTCCGTCTTCAGACCTCATATGGACAGTAATCCTGCTAAGCCTGTCTCTTATTAAACAATGACGCAATTTGATATAATATGTGACCCATAGTTCTTGCTTAGTCTCTGGACTCTAATAAAAAATGAAGACTCTTTATATTAGTTTAGTCTCAACTCTCTCGTAAGTTGCGCTTTTTAAAAGACTTTACCAATTAGGAGTTTATCAATTCGACATTTTACCGTGGAAATAACAGGAACCATCTCATTTTATTTACTTAATTGCAATAATAGTGAAGTCAAGGTCACAGATAATGTAAAATGTGGCATAAAACAAAAATAAAGGTTTATTTCATCTATTTAAAATCAAGTAACATTATTAAGTAACGTAAAAATAACATTCTTTGAAACCAAACCTAAAAACCTTTAAAATTAAAAGCTATTATATTATTTTAGCTATTCAAAGGCGGAACACTGCCGTCTGCCAGTATCTTCGGAACCTTGCCATGTGCACTTTTTACTTTTTATTTTTCATGTATCCTTTATTAGTTTAGTTAGTTTTTGTTCCTGTTTAGTTTTTTTTCTTTATAACTATATGTATTTTGGGACTTCTTGGCACTTGGCACTTCCTTCTCTAATTTAATACATTTTTCTCCTTTTCTCACAATGGTTGCCTGGAAGAGATCGCTCGAAAGCGATAAGGCCGCCAGTTGCCCTCCTTTACATTTAATTATGTTAAATTTTTATATTGTAATGTAACGAAGTGTTAATAAATAAATAAAGAGACTCCTTTTAAAAATATATTTTAGTTATTATATCATATTTTTTATTGCAATAATTGTAATATTAAATCTTGAATTTTTGTATATTCGCCTAATAAGGCAATAAAATTAAATAAAGCGTTATTATTATTACTGGCCGTGTATGGCCGTATCCTTAACATAGATTGTAGTATAATTGTCATTGTCACACAACTTCCGATAAAGATTTATGAGGCTACTTGCTCCATTTTTATAATTAATTTTATCCTTATTAAAAGTTGATTCTTTAGAAGTATGAATTATTCAGGGTCCACGCCCCACATGGGAAAATTTGATTATTAATTATTATCAAATAATTATTAGCTATTTGAAAGTTTATTAATATTATTTGGAATTTAGATGTTTGTTTTAAATTTACTTACCGTGTTTCGTTAACATTTAAGTTTATAAAATAAACAATTCAATGTTTTAAAATTACGAATTATGTTTGTTACATAGGCATACAAATTTTAGAATGGTTAAGGTGGGGCATGGCGCTTGGCACAAAAAAGGTTGGAATACAAATTAAAACTCAAAATCATTTATTCATTTACGTAACACATTGTACAATTATGAACGTCAATAAAGTAATACATATCAAATGCTAAATGCTTCTAATTTTACATTTACTGCCTGTTCTCAAATCAAGGGCGTAGAAGGGAAGAGAAGAACTGGCAATAACACTGCTCTAAGGATTTTTAGTTTAGAAATCAGCCAATACTTATGCTAGGATCTCACTAAATCCAATATTTGATTAGCTTAGATTTTATATTGTAGACGAGTAGGGCTTAGTAGCTTTGCGTTTTCTTGAGGTCATGAGTTCGAATCGCGGCTTTCAACTTTTCAATCAAAACTTTTTCTTTAGTGACAAAGGGACTTCCAAGCCTAAGCTTGCCTAGCTAAGAATGAATATTAGTGATAGGGAGAATTACGGGCCACCATCTCCTTAATAAACATATCTTTGTTATTAGCGCGACAGACAGTCCCTTGTGCAGAGTCTGTTTCAGCACAGGCCACAGCGAAATCCTTCACCCACGTATGGGTCTTGGTATGCGTAGCTGTGACTTTCCAAAGAACAGAAATCCTTGGTACTGTGAGCCGTGAAGCCTGCGAAGTTCACAGGAAACTTGTAAGCTTCTGGAAGAAGCTAGGCTGGCTTAATTATGCAGTACTAACGCACAACGAACCAAATGGGCGTCTCAGTGCGGAAACTGAGTCCACATTACACTTCAATGGACATTCTTTCTATATGCACAATTAACACTGGCCCGAAAAATATCGTGAGGATACCGGCATGCGTAAGATATTAGACACCTCCTGTGTCTACTACTCTATGGCTACTTGGCATTTAAGACATTTGTCAACAAAAAAAAAAACATTACAATTTACAGACATTGCTTATAAAAAAACATCCTAGATAATTGTTATGTTGTTGTTGTTTATGTTGATGTTGTTGTTGATGATTTTTATGTTGTTTTGTTGTCGTTGTTGTTATTATAATAAGTACTAGTTGTTGTTGTTGTCATAGTAAATACTATATAAATGTTAACTGCGATGACTTTGACAGACAATCTTACCGAATAGTTAATCTTATAGGCATTTAAAAAATTGAAAGTTATTATAATTTATAAATTGCTCAAATCAACTATAAAAAATATAAACGACCGAATCCATGACTCAGTGCTTCCT